CATCATTAATTAGTCTGGACATAATTATACTTTTCTTTTGATTGTCTAGTAAAGAATGAATTATGGCTTTTTTGTCTAAGCAGAATAGATTGTTTCATCTGGAATTATATTCAAGTGTGTTTGCTTTGATGATTTCTTGCATATCTGTTCTTTTGGCTTTGAACCATGCTAGTGTGATTGCTTTGATTGCTTCTGTAGTTTTCTTTGTGTTATCTGGTCTATTCCATAGAGGGATATAGTTTTCTTTGGGGTGAGAGAAAGATATTTGCTTGTGTATTGTTCTTATTTCCTCAGTTGTTCCTTCTGTTTCTACTGAGGTGACTTTTGTGATTATTCTGTGATATTTGATAAAAAGAAATATGAGTTTCAATTTGGGTTGCTTAATTTTTGTTGGTTTGTTCTTCTTTTTCTTTTTGAAAGTATTTAAACTAGACTTTGCTGCTATTAGGATATTCTGTTTTAGTGTGTTCCACATCTTGTTTGGATCTTGGTTTATATTGGCTTGTATGTTCTTGTTTACTTCTATGAGCTCCTCTACAACTGCTATGAACTTTTTCTATTGCTCTTTAGAGTTGGCCTGCCATAGATACCTTGTGTTATTATGGGGCCAAGGGAATCTGATTTTCTCTTTATTAAGTTGTCATGTTCTAATATTGTAACTTGTATATAATAGTCAGTCTTGATATAGTTGTTGTTAGTTATGTAGATATTAATAATACTTCAAGTGGATCTTGAGCTTGTCCAGATCATGTCTATGTAGTTGGCTATATTGTTACTAATTTATGTGAATTTTTTTGCTTTTGGATTTATATATCAAAATGTGTCTATGAGTCCTAAATCTTGGACTGTTGTAAAGAAGCTATTCTTTTTGTATGTAATTATATTTCGTCTTGGGTGAAGATGGTTGATAATCTGTAATGGCATTGTATTAAAATCACCTCCTAACATTACATGCCAGTTATCATAGTTGTGTTGTTTTATCTATTTGATAATCTGTCCTTGTACTACTTCTCTATTTGAGCCTGATTGTACTGAAAGGTATGTTCTGATAATATAAATATATTGTTTATTAGCAAATACTAGGTCAATGCAGATTAGCGTGCCAAACTTCTTTTGAATATTAATGATCCTGTCTGCTAATGGTCACTTGATGGCAATACCAACTCTAGTACCTCTAGATTTATTTTTCCATCAAGTTGCATATTTCTTTGTCTTTCACTTATTCACTAGCTCACTAGTCCTATTGGTTTCTGTGAAGATTATTATATCCCAGTTGGCTTCTATGAGTCTATCTATATTGTTCATTTTATCATATAAATAAGGCCTTAACAATTACAGGTTGCTATCATGATATAAAGTTTTGTTTCAGTGTTATGTTCAGGGTTTTGAGTTAGTTCATATTTTGTTATGTTGACTGAATTTACGTTTGTTGATGTTGAGGGAGAGTGATATATTAATGAATTTATAACTGTTTATTATATTATGTTCATATTGATAATTAGTGAATTTTTATTTGTTTTATTATTCCTAAGAGAGGGGTTATTTCTGTTGATTTGTGTATTACTCATTATTGGTAAAGTTGGAAGTGCTAAGGTTATTTGTTGCTAGGGATAATGCTCGTAATAGTGGATATTAATACACTTATAGTTTTATTCATATTTCTAATTGAGTTGTGTAATTGTTATTGTTGTCATTGAATGTTAGTGATGTTATCTTGCTTGGGAGTTTCTTTATCTGCTTTCTGGTTGTTTTGGCTTATATCTTCTTCCATGTTTTCTACCTAATTAAAGCAATATTGCTTGAGGTTGTCAATTTGTTGTCAAGATCATTGAGTATTTCTTTGATGGCTTTGAGTTCCCTCTGGATCTATACTAGTATGGTTGTGATATCTCTAAGGTTTTCAGTTTATGGAGGGTTGAATTGTAGGTGTGTATTAAAATATTTGATACCCTGTCTTTAGCTGCTACAGCATATGATCCTGAAGCTATTGTATCTTGTTTTGATATAGAGTAGGTGAGTTTACAAATTTTGAATAAGCCGGTGAGTCTAAAGTGATTATAGAGTTTTTCAAATCTCTCTGCTTGCTTGTGGTTATATTCTTTCCATTATTTTCTATATTTCTTGATAGTGCAATTGAAGACAAGGTATTGAGGACTGTTGTATATAGTACAAAGTTTGGTTTAAATAGTTTTCATTTTGATAATGGTCTTTTCAAGACTGAATTCTTGTTCCAGGGCTATATGGAGTATTTTTTCATCTTCAAAACTGAGTACTGCATATTTCCTAGGTTTGTATAACATAAGGCAAGGAATATAACAAGTTTTTGCTTGTAATTTCTGACAGATGTTCTTAAGTCAAAGGCTGTTGTACTAGGTGGGAGGTTCATGAGTTTGAAAGAGTACCTGTTCCTATCTTTCATCTAATCTAAGTTCCAATAGGCATCAAAAATTCTAATTGAGTTGGCTTTTATAAGGATGTTCTATTGGAAAAATAGTTTGATCTTATCTTCTTGTTATGTGAATATGATTGTTGCAGTTTGCTACATTTGTTGAGTGGTTATTTTGATATTGGTGGTTTGTCCAAATTTGGCAAATATTTGTTGCACATCTATGAGTCTAGTATTTAAGGAAATGTTCCAAGCCCTGATACTATTTTCCTTATTGAGTCTATTGATTATTTTTTGTATGTAAATTAATCTACTGTTGTTAGTATCAGATAAGGTTATGTTGCTTGTATTGTCTATATCCTGTTGATCCCCAAAATGATGATGATGTAATCTTATTTATTGATGCATTTGTGTTAGATAAGAAGGAGACCTTTTGGGGAGTTGAGTGTCTTAGTGATATAGATAATTTTTTGATGGATTGTCTGTTCAAGTAGTTTTGCAGCTTTGGTGCCTAATTTAATTTGTTTTCTATTATATCTTATCTGATAATTGAAAGGAGATCTTGAATGGGGTCTGGTGCCTGAGAATCATATTTGCATTTTCTTGCCTTTACCTTTATTATTACTAACTTCCTGCCAAGTGTCTGAGTCATCTTCAAGTTCTTTGTTGCAGTCCATTTCAATATCTGAGTCATCTATTCTGGTCACAAAGTGAAGAGTACTAATGATTCTATTCTATATATTCATATTGGAGTTTTCTTTTGTCTCTGTTTCAGTTCAACTTGTTCACTACATGTTTTGCTTGCCTAATTAGGTTCAAGGTTTTTTGAAGCAGTGTCCTTATCTGTCTGGTTGTTTCTTCCTGGGTTGTTGTTTATGCTGATGGACATTTGTTAGGCTATAAGAGGGGTGTGGGTATTCTTTGGTTTTTTACTGTCACTGGGTTTCTTGTCTGTAGTAGGTATTTTCTTGTCTACTATAGAGACTACTGTACCCTTGCTAAGCTTCTCAACATTATAATTTGGCCTGCTATTGATATATTGCTATTATTTAAGTCCTTTAATCCTATTGATTCCTTGAGGTGTTGCTATGCTACAGGTGAATAAGAAAGAGTGTAATATTTTCTGTAATTTTTATTTGATTATATATTTATTGATAATTAAAAAAACTGATAAATATATATAAAACAATTGTATTATGGCTAAACTAAAGCACATACTAATTCATTTGTCAACAGCTTTCAATTCTCAAAAGAATTTTCACTTCTAAGTATAATTTTAAAGGCAATAATTTGCTTTGCAATAAATTTTAAGTAGAAATTTTTCTAATTTAAATATCATTGCTAGCAAGTTGTTATTATTTATTTTTCTTAAAAAATTGATTTTGAGAAACTACAAAAGAAAATAAAATAAACGAAAAAAATAAGTATATTTAAAAATATACAAATATATTATATAAAAACAAAAGAAAAAAGAACCTTAAAAGTATTCTACTATATATTCTTTAAAAATCTCTATTAATAATCTTTTTAATTAGAAACAAATATTTTTAAAATATTCTTTTTTTTTAACTAGTGATTACACAGATCAAATCAAATCAGATTTTAACTAGATTCAATTTGATATGATTTTTATAAATACGAATTAAATATAGATCAGATTTATTTTAAACTAATCTGATTCAATTTGAAACTATAACAGTTTAATCTAATTTGATCTGATTCAAATCTGAATCTTATTTGATTCAATTCAAATCAAATCTGATTCAAATTTGATATAAAAGCAATTTGATACAAAAGCAATTTGATATTAATTCAACTATAACTACTTTGATTTAACTAAATTAAATTAAATATGTTTAAATTAACTTGACTTTATTTTAATAAAAAAATTTTAACTAGCATATTTCTTTTTGGAAATATTTTTTAATTTTAAATTTAAAAATTTTTCTATTATTAAATTTAAATAAATGCATTTATTCAACACATAATTATTCGTTTACTTCTATATTAACATACTCTCCACTATAGCCAGTACAATCTAAAATAACTTGATTTTCTATATTATTTTTTTTCTTTATTTTTTATTATTGATATTTCAAGTACTTGCAAAGTATGTTGATCTGTAAATAATTGATTATAATAATAATTCATATAATATACTTCTTATTTATCTTCTCTCTATTTTTTTATAGCTAATACTATTTTTTTGATCAAATTTTGGAACAATCCACAAGTTATACCTTCTATTAATAATATTATAATACCATGCAATTCATTCTTTGACCAGCAATAAAGAGTATTTCCCAGTAAAAATTGTAGCAATTTTAATTTGTTTATAAATTAAATTTTAATAATTTGTAATGTTTAAAAAATACTTGTCATTTCAACAAAAAAAAATTCCTTTTCACAAATCCTTTTTTTCTAAAAAATTTTCTTTTATGGTAATTTTGCAAAGAAAAGAAAAAGTGAACATAGAGATGTCTTCTCAAAGAGAACTTCGCAAGAGAATAGTCCAATGGAGGCCCAACTACAATAAGAATGCCCTTGCAAGAGGTAACACTAACAAGTTATGCAAAGAAACAACCCTGAAGTTCCCAAAGAAAACTACTCAAAATCAAACACTAACTGAAGAAAACCAGTCCTTATTGGTTTCCAACTCAGATAATAATACAACTGATACTCTGACAAGCAGTTCAATAGCTAGAAAGAAGACAAACACCTCAAACTGGGATGAAGAAGTCGAAAAAGACTTGGGTGACCACGTGAGCAAAAACAACACTAATCAAGACAAACTTATCCAAAATCAAGAAGAAGAGGAACACGCCTATAACTTAGATATCGACATGGAAGAAGGAGAATATTCACCAACACCCACAACCTCTTCCTATAGAACATCCAACTACAAAGGCAAACAAAAGGAATACAAACAGATCACAAAACCAATACCCCATTCTCCATTCGATAGAACACAAAGATATGAAAGAGAAAGAGTTAAAATTGGCATCCTGGCATCTGAACTCCTCGGCAGGATGACAATACAAAAAATAACCCATCTCACTAAAGCCCTCAACTCTTCACAAGGACTTCTCACTATCCGTAGTAAAGGAAGCAATGAAAATGAATACATCATTGCCATCCTTAGTAACAAATAAGTAATGATCAAAATATACAATGTAAACATGTTTAAAACAAACAATCAACACATAGAAATCATAGAGTTCACAAACTCCATTCTAAAAAAGGAAATAAGTGTCAGAGTATGGGATATCCCCTTGATACTAAGTTTATTGAAGTGCAACAATCTTTTGCCAAATATGGAGCAATCAGTAATGTTGCTATGTCAACACAACAAATATGGCAAACAGCAATGATCACATATATAAATAAAGATAACAAAGAAGCACTGATCAACCAATGGAGTGTTCCACTAAAGTCAGACTCAGTCAGAGTCTTTGACACACAATAAGACATAGAGCAAATGAAAGAACGTAGTCAGATTGTAGCCAAACTAACTAATCTATCACCAAATATAACTGCCTTCGATCTCAGACTAATCTGTAAACAAGTTAAAGCCATGATATGTTACATACCAAGAAGAATGTCATATCAAAGAAAATGCTTTGCAGTCCTGAGTTTTGTTTGTCAAAAAGATCTGGATGAGGCAATAAAACAAGATTATCAACTTGGGGAAACAACAATCACCTGGCAACCAATTGAAACAAAACTTTGCTCAATCTATAACAGCCATGAACACCTTGTGACCAATTGTTCCATCAAGGAAAGATGACTTTGGTGGAAGCAATACAATAAAGAGCAAGCTAGAAAATTGGGAAATTCTACAATAAATACAAACCAGTGCACACCACATTAATCAGAAATCAAATAAGAACTTTAAGAGAAAAATAAAGACAATCTGGTTTATATGCAGCCACATCAAAACAAAGTCAACAACAAAACAATACTAGCCAATTGTTAAAGGCCAAAGAAGTCAAACAAAGTTCAGAATTTTTGCCATGGTCATATGACCAATGATCATAACGTGACCGAAGCTTATGCAAAACAATCTATTGCTGACTATCACCATACCCCTTACAAGCTAGAATAATGTGCGAACAATCCATTCACATCAAAAAGGTAAAAAACTATGAGCTGAGGTAATAGAAAATTAGCTGATCACAAAGCAATTTATGCATGACATAATACTAGAATAGTTATAGTGATTATGTAATAGCTCTATGTGTAAAAATGTATAAATGTAACTTCTTTCAATGACTTAATAAAATGATAAATCTTAAGACGAATCTTTTGGATAGATTGTTATAACAGTGAAGTTATAAGTAGTTTTGGGAAAAACTACCTTAAGACTCGCCCAAATCTTTTTATGTTTTTGCCTTGATTTTGATATTGTTTTGTGTATGTGATAAAAGGATGGACTCTTCTATATGCAGGTTACATGGGCCTTTGGTCATTAGCAACAGACTCACCAATCGCCTGCTACATCAACACAGTAATGAATAACCAATACTCACAAACATCTTGCATCTCCTGGAAGAAATCAAAGAAATTAAAGAAAACATCATTAATTTAGATGAAAGGGTATACAACCTAGAGTATACAGAGGATGACATCCCTATAGAAATAGAAACAGAAATAGAGACTGAGTCACCTGACACAACAAACATTGAGTGACAAACTAGCAACCAGAACGAAACTGCCAATATACAAATACAACAATAACAAATCCATGCTTCTATCACAGAATGGACCAAAACATGAACAAAGCACTTAACGCTATCACAAAACTTATTCCCAGGAGAACCAACAAACAATCAAATAAATAATGGGGAGTTCACAAAGTACAATACCAATAATACAGCAAGAACATTCAAATGAAACCCAACCATCAAATTCCTTTGATTCAACATTCCAACAACTGACCACAAACTCAATAGAACTGAACTCAAACAACAATAATATCAACAACAACACTAACAACAACATCAACAACAACAATAATAATAATAATAATCTATTCACAGAAGAAAACCTTAACAAATACCGATCAATCTGGGAACTTACAACTGTCAATATATATGGATTAATAGACACACAAAAGAGAAACACATGGTTCAACTTATGTAATCAAAAGCAATAAGACATTATAGTAACAATAGAAACAAATGGATTACATCAACATTCTAAACACTGGAAACATCCAAACTTTTAAATAATCTGGTTCCACAAAAAGGCACAAATCTTAGGTTATTGTCTAAATATAATGATCAAAAATGACATCATGTAGACAATATATAAATACAAAACCTTCAATGGCTGACTAATAGCCACAGACTTTGCCTTTCCAAGAAAAAGAAAATTAAGAATAATAGGTATCTACTTCCTGGTACAAGACTCATCTAAAGAACAAATATGCATAACACACATACTCAAACAATAAATCAATAAGGCAATAGTACAGAACTGGCATATCATAGTTATGGATGACCGGAATAGTACATCCAATTCAGATACATACCACACTCACAACCCTTCAAAAAGAGAATATACTTGGCAAGGTCAAGGTAGCCATAGTAGACTCGACCAAATCTGGATCAATTCCAAAGCAACATGGTACATACACAAAGCCAACATCATAGACATACTCGACTCTCTAATCTCTAGTGACCATAGACCAATGATCATAGAACTTGAGGTATGGGAGTTAGATATATCCAAAATCATATTTATCCATAAACCAAACATCAGGTACAACTGGTTCCACACCAATGACAAACAATGGAAGAAATTTTTTTAAACAGTGGAATTAACAATGAGCAATATACTCTCAGACCCCATATTGATTGATCAAAGATGGAATTTCTTTGGCTTTCAACTCTTGCATGCAGCAAAAAAACACATACCTAAAAAAACATCAACACTGAAAAAAATGTCACCAGAAAGCAGAAAAGGATCAGATGCCTCTTTACTTTATCTATAATCATTCTTGACAACCTTAAAGCAACTCCACAATACAAATCAAGAAGACAACACTAAGGTGGAATGTGTCATACCAATATATATTCAAAAACACTTCCCTGATATCAACACAGAATTACATCATGTATCAAAAAATCTCTACTATACAAAGTGGACACAGATTATTTAATCATACATCAAAGTTCACAAAACTGTAGACAAATACATCACAAAAGGTAAAGAAGCTATAGTCATAGCTCAAAGAATAGCAAGCTGACAGGCTTTTCTAGAGAGTAACAAAAAAGTTATAATTAACAGTATCCTAGATAGACCAATGTGACACATTCATCTTAACAAAATCATATAGCAAAAAGAGGACATACAAATTATTACAGATCCCAACAAAATCAAAGAAACAGTTAGACAACATTTTTTTAACTAGACACCATCTAGAAATATAGCATCACTAGCAAATCATCCATATTGGCAACAAGAATACAAAGCTAAATCTCACATCAAGAGTAGATGGTATGCAGATGTTCTCATAGAAATTACAACTGAGAAACTAATAACAACAATTAACAACTGAAGCAACAAATTAGCATTAGGAAAGAAATTAAATTCTATATAGCACTTACAAACACCTCAAGATAAACACCATAGAAGAACTGACTGGAATCTTCAATAATATCCTACAACAAGGCACAACCCCCAAAGAATGGAGCAAAGGAACCATATATCCAATATCCAAACCCAAAGACTAGGAAAACAACCTTGATATAATAAAACCAATCACTTTCTTGGATACTGAAAGGAAAATCTTTACCAAAATAATAACAGACCACCTTGCTAAAGTCTTCAAAGACCACTCAATACTGTCAGACCTAAACTGGGTAGCATTACTAGGGAACAGTACACAAGATCCTATACATATCTTGAGCAGTATTATAGAATATGCCAAAGAAACAAATCAAAAAGCCTGGATCCTTAGTCAGGATATGTTCAAAACTTACAATTCAATAAATATCACAATGTTAAAAAAAGCACTTTAGTGGATAAAAATCCCAGAGAAAATAATACAAATTCTTGATAACATCTTCAAAGATAGGTAAAATATAGTCCTAATATGCCATGGCCCTACCAATCCATATGCAGTTAAGAATGATATAAACCAAGGTGACACCATATCTTTACTACTATGGCGTATTTTCTATGACCCCCTCCTTACAAGTATCAGCAATGAACATATAGAATACTTACTTGCAATCAAGACCTGCAAACACTTGGATCAAGATTGGTCCTCAGGATCTATAAATATTGTAGCCAACACATACATGGATGACACTACATGGATTGCAACAAACAAAGCTGCACTCCAAAAAATAATAAACACTGCCAAACAATTCTTTCATATTAATGACATTAAAATAAATCCACAAAAATCCCAGCTCCTAATAATCAATGGCAAAGAAAATGACTATATATAAGAAGTATGGATGAATGATCAAAGAATTATAGGTTGCAGAAGAAGTATCCCAGTTAGAATTCTTGGAGTATGATACAATAGCTCTGGAAGAAAAGACTACCAAAAAGCCTTAATCAAACAAAAAATTCAAAAAACACGAACACTTCTAGGAATAAAGAGAATTACTGACAAGCAGATGCAATATATAATCAATCATATCCTAATGCCCAGCCTAGAATATCTGTGCAATGACATTTTTCTTACCAGAGATATCTGTAACAAAATGATGAGCAAGTTAGTAACTACCTTCAAACATAAGCTAGGCCTTGCAAACATGGTTTCTAATAGTATGCTATACAACAAATTTGAGTACAATCTAATGCACTTATAGGATATACAATTTCTACTCCATGCCATAAACTGGATCTCATGAATCAACCAAAACAACATCACATGAAAAATGGCTAGGAAAAGATTGCAATCATTACAAAACATGTTCTAGTTCACAAAAATGATAATAAGTCATTTATATATAACCCTGCTACCACAAGGAAGACACTTCTCTCATGATATCATATGGTTACTAAGAATATATGGATTCTCCTTTCAGAAGACACTAAATGGAAGATATATCACAATTACTGAAACAAATACTCCTATCGAGGAAGTCACAAGTAAAAGTTTCTATAATCAACACAGGAAAAACTTAAAGAAGTACAACATTTCTCTTCATCAGCCAAATACTAAACAGTAGAAGGAAAAAACATTGCATTGGTGCCAAGTAATTAGACTCAACCGTCAAACAATACAAGAACATATCCCAGCCTAGTACCATACACTCAGAAATAGAATACAAGAATGGATCACAAATAATTAATTGCAACAACCCCTAATCAATCGATTCCTACAATGCAGTCAATCTACAAATCAAAACACAGCTCACCCACATTGGATTACCACAGAACTAAACAATCAAACAATCCTGGGAAGAAAACAGAAAAAACTAAATGACCACTTAACAGAATATAGACACTATAACAGAGTTAATAACCAATCACTTCTAATTGAATACATGGGCTGCAACATCAATAACCACAGTCAAAACAATTACCCATGTATCTTCTCGGCTAGCTGCCAAAGCTCAATTAACACTCCTATACATTTTAGCAAAGTCACTACTAACAATATAATCAATACTGAGGGTAGCACTTTTAGGTATAGAGTATCCTCAGATTCTATCCACACTACACTCAATGCATTATATACCTCTAGCATAACTACCACCCATGATCAGGTAGAAGTTATCATTCCAGCAACACAAAACTTAGACAACCTTCTTAGAAAACTCTTTATTACAGAGAACCACATACTTGAGAAACTATCTAACCTAACCTTCAAAATACAAGATCATATGGATCTCTCAAAGAACTCAACTGCAAATAGCTTATGGGTATAGGTATAAAAATTATCATAAATGAAGGAAAAGAGTTTACCTTTCAAGGACAAACAATACAACACCCATCATTTACCAGAGCAGAGATCATGGCAATACTCATCGCTCTCAGCATCTTATCAAACTTCAGCCATGTCAACATATTCACAGACAGCCATGCCACCATAAATAGTATCAACAACATTGCACAGTTAACACCAAACAAAGCACTAAAAAAACAAAAGAATTTCAATCTACTACAACAAATTCAAGATATATTAAAGAAAAAAAGCATCAAACTAAAGTTAATCAAGGTAAAGGCACACTCAGGAATCGAATACAATGAAGCAGCAGATAAACTTGCAAGTATAGATCAAATATATGGTATGATCCTAAACAGTAGACTAATACATACAAACATAACAACGAATCTACTATTCACTCTCATTCCTCAATGGGATCAAGAAGCCATAAAAATCCCTATTAAACTAATGACCTAACATATCACAAATGCAGTTCATCTAGCAAAATGGCAACTCCTAAATCATACCAGAATTAATTTCGATGACTACATTATAAGAAAATCCATTGACCCATAACAGTAAACAATCTACAACCCACAAAAATGAGCAATCACTTCACCTGTTGGCAAGATCAATACCAAAGAAGATT